ATCTACCATGTTCCAATTCCCTGACGTTGGATCCTATGAAGAATCATTTGTTAGCTATGGTGGTTACTCATCAGATGGAAGTTGCTATCCGGGCGGTGATCTTAACTATGGTGGTAAAACTTGGGAGAGGGTCGTAAGGTACACTAACCTCAAGATAACATTTTCATCGATCAAGGCTACTGCTGATTTTGAAGAAAACGGTTGTGATTTTCCCAAACGGGATCAGATGTGAACTAAATAAGGAATCATGTGAGCAGGCTGATTATGGGTGGCTTTACTGGAAAGTCCCCACACCTAGTTGCAGTAGTGATGTTGGGAATCAAGCAGTCCTTTACAGAGGGTTAGCCCAATTGGTCAGTGTGTTTTCGGGAGGCTCAAACGATAGCTTTGTACAGTTAAGTCATTCAGGCTATGATTTTCAAATAAAATTGGAAGACAGGAAGACCAATATATGTGGCTTTAGGTCTTTTTTTACTGAGCACCCTAGACTCTTCGTGACAATGACTACAGAGATGTCGCCCCCATTCCCTGACATCAAGCCTGTTGACCCCAGATCAGTCAGTATGATCAACTACATAAACTCAAAAATTGTCTATTCCCTTCGCCACACCAAAAATCAGGTAGATCAGTTATTCCAGCTATTCGAAAAAAATAGATGCCTTAGCCAGAACAGGATTACTAGTAACATGATGGCCATCGCAAACCTCTCTCCAATACAGTTTGTGTTTGCATATTTTCACGAACCTGGATACACTGCTGTAGCCAGAGGGGAAGTTGCTTATGTGGCAAATGTGCTTGTAGAAATTGAGCAGGGAAGATTGGAGCATTGTTACAATGAGTTAGTAGTCTCACACAATAATGTCACAAAATTCATGTCCCCTCGGAGCAGGATACTTGTTCGGATAGGCTCCATTGTAAGCTGCTCAAACGATTTTGGGTCCATGTACAAATTACATAACCAGTGGGTGATGCAAACGCAGATTGGGGTGGTACCTGCAAGATTACCTGTCACCATAACACCGGAGGAGTTGAGGTATAGTTTCGAGCCTTTGAATTCTATTGCCAATGGTGGCCTTTATCGACCCGAGACTATTATCAAGTATCAAAAAAACTATTGACATCTCCCCTAGAGGAAACTATTATATCGTCTCGTATCATCAACACGCTTCAAACTGGGTCTGACCTTCCCACTGGGATCAACATCTTGTAACAATTGTTTCAATACTAAAAGTGTTTCAGACTTTAAAAGCAAGATGGATGAGCTTTCTGACAATGCCCGAGGCCTGGGCTCATGGTGGGAAACATTCTTGTTTGGGTCTTTCTGTATCAAGCTCTTTTGTTCTATTGTGAATGCTTTCACTAACTTCTATTTCATGAAGAAGAGCACCCATTGGTTAATCTGCTTGCTATCCTGCCTATTTGATTCAATTTCCCATCTCATTATATCTGGATTTATAACGTACCCACGAAGTAGAAGAGGTAATGCCGAGATGCTTAACTTAAAGGTTAAGCGCAGTACCAATGAGGAGGACCCAGAGTAAAGTTATTCCAGGAACAGACCTTTTATATACTCCAAGTTGGACCATGACCATATATACCAAATCTTATCTGCCACAAAGAAGAGGTACGAAAACAAATCATGAAAATGCTTGACCAAGGCATCATTCGTCCTTCGAATAGCCCATGGTCATCCCCTGTATGGGTAGTACCGAAGAAGTTGGACGCTTCCGGCCAAAGAAAATGGAGATTGGTAATCGATTACCGCAAGCTTAATGACAAAACTTTGGATGATCGATACCCAATACCCAACATCACTGACATCTTAGACAAATTAGGAAAATGTCAATACTTTACAACCCTAGATCTAGCCTCCGGTTTCCATCAAATCGAGGTTAGAAAAAATGATATTCATAAGACGGCATTCAATGTCGAAGGAGGGCACTATGAATTCGTCAGAATGCCCTTTGGGCTAAAAAACGCACCCGCCACGTTCCAAAGAGTGATGGATAATGTCCTCAGGAAGCATATTGGCGTGATCTCGGACACGTGGTTACTCCCGAAGGAGTTAAACCATATCCGGAAAAAATTAAGGCAATACAAAAATGGCCTCTGCCAAAGAACGAAAAGGAACTCAAAGGCTTCCTTGGGATTATTGGCTATTACAGAAAATTTGTCAGGGACTTTGCAAAAATAGCAAAGCCTCTTACACAACAACTACGTAAGGGAGAAACGATTAATCATACCCCCGATTTCATTTCTGCCTTTAAGCGATTTATACTTACAACAGCCGCTTCAAACTACGCACTGGGTGCAGTCTTGTCACAAGGTCCCATTGGACAGGACAAACCTATAGCCTTCGCTGAGACGGCCCCCGTTCCATGTTTTGCATTTTATCATGGGCCGTCACATTATGTCACAGACAGTGACCTAGAGTTATACAATTAAGAAAGAAGCTAGGGCATACCAATGGTACCCCGAGCGCGGGCCTTTAAATTTGGCTTCTGCCAATGATAGCAGTTTTTTTTCAAGTTCACACAACAGCGCAACGCGCGCCATAGCAGGTTGTTTTGTTATTTCTCTCACCAGCATGTGGCTCTGAGAGAATAGCGTGTAGAATGAACTTCTTTTTAGTACAAGAGAAGCATGCTAGGGTCTATAGAAGTAAAATGAGTGAATAAAGCTGGGTTGTCTTGTTGTATCTAAACCAGTTTTTACTTGTATAAGTTGTAAAAGAGTAAAAATGGAGATCTTCCCGCTGACAACAGCTCATTTGGGGCTAATTAATGAACATGTCCCAGCTGATGTGGCAAACATGAGGCAAAACGGTTATGTAGGGACTATTTTTATGGCGACAAATGGTGACAAAATCGCAAGGATTTTCGGGTGGATGAAGAGGACTGAAATTGACCCTCAGCCTTCAACATTGGAAGCTTGGAATGCGGATAAAGGCATGCGACTGGTTAATGAAAATGGTGCTGTAACAGTAAAGTATGAAGGTTTGATATACTCGCATACCTTTCAACTCTTGCATTTATTCCAAACTTTGCAGAGGACATGGAACGATATGGAGATGAAACGGACTCCAGTGTATCTGTGAGGACTTGGATGACTTGGATGACCAGACAGAAGAACATAGGGAAAGTTTGCTCCAGAGAAATGTATTGGTACTATCAGTTGGAAATGCCTTTGGTATCCCTGAAGAAGGTGGGCGGGACAATGCTTTGGTTGAGGAAGAAACATTGTATGCATATGTCTATTGTAATGTGTTTTGTTTGATCAAAACAGGGACAGATGCAAATATGAAATTGGCACTAACAAACCGACTAAGAGCACTCAAGAACGCACTGAAACTCAGAGGCCTAGATGTTGAAGGCTTTTTGACAAACAAGATTGATATCGGACAGTGTGCCAAGATCTATAGCGATATGGGTCTCATGCCTCTGCTCAAGTCCTTGATATTTTCGTGTATTCTGTCTAATGATAATCCTTTCAACGCGCATATCAAACTAATCCTGAAGGAGGCACAGCTCACGGTTTTCAATTTGATTGTCCATTTCATCTATGCTCCAAAAATAACTCTACTACATGTGCTTGAGGAAATTAGCGATGAGTATGATTGTGATGTGCATCCCTACATCTTCAACCCATAAATAAGTACAAGTCAAAAACCTCCATGTAAGCACAGCAAGTCATTCCACTTGAACCAAAACTCACAGGTCATATTACGCATAGCCAAACGCGACCAAATGTGCCGGTTGCGCCACGGCGTTAGAACACAATTATTTACACTCTCTCTCTCTTCTCGTGTTCGACCGTTCGACCCATGCCAATGCAGTCTCGATACCGATAGGCGTCATATTGCACAACTGGGTAGGACCACCGGGCACCGAAGATGCATTTTCCAGGCATGCTACTCCAGTTGTCTCACTTTGACTAATAGGTTAATTACGTTAAGCCAAGAACTGTAAAGAATTGTAAACCCTATATAAACAAAACCGAAACCCAAAAATAAAGATTCATAACCAATCACATGAAGGCTCTTGACTGTAGTCCTTACTATAGTCGCTATATTCATAGTCTGGCGGAGAGAAATTCCATCTAGCAAAAAAGGGAACCAATTCAAGATACTGAAGACCAACAAATGAAAAGGGGCTCAAATTTTATAATCAAAACTAAGATAGTTCATTCCTTGCAAACTGAACGCAAATTAAAAGCACCATGGAATAGGGAAAACGTTCCCCAAGTAAATTATGATGTTGTTTTGCCTAGGCAAGCTTTGAATCGCGAGAAAAGTGTTTCCAGAATTTAGGTCACAAAACCTGATGTGCTCTTTTCTGTTGTTGGTCGTGATATGCTCGATTGGTTCCGTTATTTGACAGTTCAATTGGTTCCCGAAATTCTATCCGCCAGACTATGAATATAGCGACTATAGTCCTTACTGGTGATAGCTTTTCAGCTCACCATAGTTTGGATACTACTAAGAAAGAAAGTCCTTCTCCATTGGAATGATAGAACCTGTCACAATGATACCTTCTTGGATGCAATGTCGAAGCTAAAACATCGTTATGGAAACTTCTGGCCCTACTGTAAACTTGTCAACCCTGATGAGTCATTGGCAACCTTGTCAAGATTCCCTCACCTGTCAAACGTTGGTAAAGCATTTGCATTCTCCCAAGGTGGTACTGAGTCGATTAAGAACCTTCAAGGAATGAGAGCTGTCCGTTCTTATTATTTCAGATATAGAAAGACGTTTGTTAGCGATGATGTTAATATTGGTCAGATTGATATGGCCGACAGAGCTAGGGCTTCATTGAGAAAAATCCATCCAGAACGTGAATTTGCTGAGATAACAAATGCTATCTTGGAACAGAAGAGACTGGCAGCTCTAAATGTCGAACTTCCGGACTATGTTACACGTTTCCTCAGAGACGAGGTTGCGGCTCGGTCATCGACTAGATTAATGTTTCGACCAACATGCAAGCCTCGTTGTGTTGTGTAATAGGAATTACAAATTATCAGAAGAGGTCGTTTAACCCCAAATAATTATTTACACTTCAAGTGCGTTGCACTCTTCAAGTGGCACAACATTGCAATTCGACACTTTTACCCAGGCGCTTAACGCAACATCATCAAAACACAGATATCAGATTACAAGCATTGCGCAATGTCACTTCGCAACTGCTTGACCCAATTCTTTTCACAGAGTATTAAACTATAAGTGGGACATGCCCACACAGCAATTCTTTTCCCTTTCCACTGACCTTGTTATGATGGGACTTTGCCCTAGACATTATGCAGATTTAGCAGATGGCTCAACCTATGTGCTTCGCACTGATTGGTTGACCTTATATACCACACTGATCTAGATATCTTGTAGAGTTAATAATTATGTGTAGAGTTTAAGAATATAAATAGTTCAATTCATTTTTGCTAAAGGGAAGTTCAGTTTTAGTAATCAGTGAGTTAAGTGTACTTACTGAAGTACATATCGTAAAGTGGTGTCAAGCTAAGAAATAATGTGTTAATATGTAAGCCGAAAAATACTGTGTTAATATAACATTCAAAAAGGAGCTTACTAATGTCGTTGTAAAAAAAAACAAAAAAAAGAAAGAACTCCAAACATCAGAAGTGATGATAGGGATGTTTTAACGCCTTTAGCCTACACATCTTTCAGAGTAATAACAGACGAGAGGTGAACATGCTAGTATGATACACGCAAAGTTCATGGTTCGAACTTGAATTGTTCCATTTTATAATTCCGAACAAACCGACTCAATTGAATATATTTTAAGTAATTTTAGTGATGTGTTTTCATAGAGTCGGTTCAGTTTTTCATCGTTCCGTTCAAAGCAATCAATTTATAGAGTGCTCAATTCCAAAGTGATCAAGTGTTAGTGCTTCATGCAGCCAGCAACGGACCTAATAGAAATTACAGTAGATGAGAATTTATTTGAGATTGTGCTATGCAACTTCCTGATCCATCAATTAGTAGAGTAAAAGCGTATACACAATTCAATTTACAAACGTTACCGTTCACCCACATTTTACTTTATTCATATCCAAATTTATTAACACAATAAATTATCCCGTATACATATCTTATGACAAAGTCAATCCCATTGTAGAGCCCTTTGACAATTATTATGTGCTTAAAACCAGAAAAAAAAAAACAATAATAAAAATGAACATAAGGAACATATTCTAAATGAAATCAACTGTAATAATGTACCGACTTTTGTTTAAATGGATTTTAAGAAATTAATAATGGATTACTTATTCAGACATATTTTGTTAAAGAGACGATACACTTTTCACAAATAATTTCTATAGCCAAGACATAAACCTGATCGATGATATTCCAATTTATATTCCGAAATAACAAACAAATTCATTCACAAACAGAAGAAATACAGACTCAACTAGACAAAATGCTACAAGAAAACATAATCGAACATTCAATTTCACCATACAATTCACCAATTTTACTAGTTCGAAAAAATCAGACAATAACAATAAAAAATGGAGACTGGTTGTTGATTTCCAACAATTAAACAAAAAAAAATTGGCAAACAAATTTCTCTTACCAAGAATTGACACCATGCTAGATCAACTTGGTAGAGCAAAATATTTCAGTACTCTTGACCTTATGTCAGGATTCCACCAAATCCCTCTCACAGAAAATTCTAGAAAATAAACAGCTTTTTCAACACCGTCAGGCCATTATCAATATACGCGAATGCAATTCGGATTAAATATTAGCCCAAATAATTTCCAGTGTATGATGACAATAGCCATGGCAGGTAGGACTCCTGAACATGCATTTATGTATGTTGCCGTTGCAGTCAGGCCTGAAAGGGTTGCGGTAGCATAACTACCGTGAACGCGCCCCTTTGATGCGCCCGTTTTTGACGTTTCTTGCCGTCGCTGTAGCAGTGAGGCGCATAGATGAATGTATTCACACAGAGGTGCGATAGTGAGTGGGATAAGCTGAACACGGCCATCGCTTTCGCACTACTTGGTTTGTTTACCCTAGCAGCTGGCCTGGAAAGAGGAGAGTATAGACTCCATCGCGATAGATGTGTTTTTGTTGTTGCGAATTATGTTTTGTGCCAATTATTGTACCTAGTAAGTTGTGTAATTTGTAGTTTATTAGTTTATTTGTAGCTTTTTAAATATTGTGAAATCATAGATTGTTCGCCACTGTTGTACCGCGGGAAGCAGATATGTTTTCATTTAGTGTATTACTGTTCAATTACCATAAGTTAAATATTATGTAAAGGTGACATGTTGTTCAGTGTCTTTTATTTAATTAATTGATAGGACCTCGCTAAGCCCGCCGAAGGTAGATTGGCATTGAGGAGTTGCAGGCGTTGAAAAACTAAATTGTAAGTTGTCGATTGTAAGTTTGTTTAATGTAAATAGTTTGTTAATTTTGAATATATTTGAGTTGAGTTTTGTCCGTCAAAAGACCTACTTTTTAAAATCGTTTTTCATTCGCGCCGGAGGGGTGCGAACAATATACATTGATGACATTATCGTTATAGGATGTTCTATCAACCATCATTTATCAAAGTTGTTGACCGTTTAAGACATTATAATTTAAATTTAAATCCTAGTGAATGCAAGTGTTTACAATCAGAAGTGACATATGCAGGACACAAAATTAAGATTGAAGGTATTTTTCCTGATGATTCCTAATTTTCAGCAGTTAAACATTTCCCAATACCGACAAATTGTGCTAGGCATCTTCCCACGCAATAAATCATAAGCTAGAAAGAGCATTTCCATTTCAAGATAGCATACGCAACCATCAATGCAATTCATTATCATACCCTCTTGACACACATTTTCAACGGACAGTAAACACATGTACGATGTGCACATGTTTTTGCTGACTCAAATTACTTACCGGGTGGCCTTGCGCTGCAGGGCCAAACAGTAGAAGCAAAACACCAAACAACTGCATCGATGGGCGCGCAAGGGTAAAACACCAAATTACAATATTTGTCAACACTTCTGTCCCAGACGTCTGTTTCATTCTCTTTCCTACACATTAGTTAATAGCAAAACCCAAATGTAAACCAATGTAACATCATGCTATAAAAACCCAAGGATTTCGAAATAAACGGCAGTCTTTTTACGACTGAACAATCAGAAGCTTCTCAAAGCGATCCTCATTCGAGGACACCGCTCACTGAAGAAAGTCCCCTGATCCAAAAGCGATTCCAGGTCCTTGCGACTGGTGAACACCGCTAACTTGGAGAGTAAATGTCTCCCGGGCTAATCGGGAGTAGTGTTTAACGAATGGTAAATCGTAATCTGATAATAATGTTGTCGTGCAAAAACAAGAAAGGGAAGAACTCCAAACATAATGAAGTGTTTATAGGGATGTTTTAAGAAGACGAGTGTAAAGATTTTACACAAATTCGAAAAGGTCAAACTTGATCATTTACCACAAATCGACTCAGAATCAATGTCATCGATTATAAGTCATTTTAGTGATCTGTTTTTCCTAGATGGTGATAAACTGACCGACACAGAAGCGACAGTCCTTAGTCGAGCGTTCGACAAAGGTGGTTCAATATTTTTTCGCTCCGTTTACAGCAATCAATTTATAGTGTACTCAGTTCCAAAGTGATCTAGTGTTATTGCTTCATGGCCAGCAACGGACATAATAGAAATTACAGTAGATGAGAATTTAATTGAGAGAAATAAAGAGCTTTCATATAAAAATAGAAAAAGATAATTAAATTTGTATGCAATAATGCGGAAACAATATAAAAATTAGCAATATGCTAACATCGTACAAATTTTATAATAGCATATCAAATAGCATACCACTTACACAATCCCAAAGAAAATAATTTCCGATAACGAACCAGCCCTTAGATCCATCGAAATCCGATCCCTTTTCCAAAGACTAAATATTGAAACTCAATATACACCCTCCAATCATAGTGAAACAAATGGCATAGTGGAAAGATTTCATTCCACACTGAGTGAAATCTTTCGATGCATCAAAGATAAATATGAAGATTTAAACCAGAAAAAGATTTTCAAAATTGCCTTGGGGCTGTATGATAGAACTATCCATACAGTGCACAAACAAAAACCATTTGAGATAATATTCGGACAAAGAGAGGATCTACCATTAGACATCGACAAACTGTTTGACAACCGACTAGACATTATATTTAGACGAAGTGACACTCCAACTCGAGAAAACAGCAACAAAAGATACAACATGGCATGATGAATGGTCAACAGGGTCAAATCCTGATGTTTTTCATGCAGATGCTCAATTGGACAGTTCAGAGGAAGATGTCAATAGCATCTTGGGTTGTGGAAGAGATGTTGAGCCTACTTTGTCTTGCTACAATGCGATCTATTACCCAAGGTTTACCGCCTCTTGCTCTGACCTTGTGTATTACGACTGGAATCAGGACGACATTGATATATATATATATATATATATATATATTATCAAACGTATCTCCAACCCTACATAAGCAATATCATCACATTAGCACCGGATAAGTCCAAAGGCTAATCGATCAGCACATATCGATTGGCTCACCAACATATTGCTATATATCAACATTTCAAGTGCACCGAGTATCCCACTGCAACATCAACACTTTGCGTGCAGTAAGCACAACGAGGGTATTGCCATCATAAACCCATCGAACCATCCACGCATGGAGTCAGCATTCTAACCAGAGCGAAGTCCATCGGCCACATGACATCGTTACCAAAGAGAACGGATACCAGAGTCAGCAGAATGGATCACTACAGCCACGCGCCCTTTTTTAGGGACCATAGCTTAGCTTAGGGAATAATCAATTAATAAAATCAATCTTAATCGAGTAGTTAATGTGTGAGGTTTTATTTTTTTAAAACTCCTCCGAAGACCAAACACCTTTAACTGGCGCAGTCGAACGGAGCCGATTAGCTCCCAAGTGTTAAATAAAAAAAAATCTTAAAGTTAGTAAAGATCATTCTTAGTCAGGCCTTCAGCCAGTGAAGTTTATTTTTAAAAGGTCCGTCCGAAGGCCCGAAAGTTAATTTATATTGACCCGCTTAGTGTTTTCATGGATGGCTTTATTAGCATTTGGACATCCTGATATATTTCATGCAGATGCTCAATTGGGCAGTTCAGAGGAAGATTCCAATAGCATCTTGGGTTGTGGAAGGGATGTTGAGCCTACTTTGTCTTGCTACAATGCGATCTATTACCCAAGGTTTACCGCCTCTTGCTCTGACCTTGTGTATTACGACTGGAATCAGGACGACATTGATGGTGGCGACCCTGTTGGTTTTCATCATTTTCGTGCGAGGATTAATAACATATTTCTCAGACAACGGCACAGCTGGTTCCAATTATCGCTCTGTGATCAGCACCTCGACCCCAATCGTCTTAGGGATTCTTTTAACCCTGGCGATTTGGGCGTCTGAAAGAGCCCAGTATCCCATGTTTGCCTTTGGGCTTTCCATATCAATGATCATGGGAATCTTTCTTGTTGATCAGACTTCAAAAGATCTTTCTCTCGAATTTATCTCTCATGGACGGATGCCCACTGGAGTCGTAGTGAACGAGGATAGTGAGGAGGACATTGTCGGACCTATTTATGGGAAATTGGGTGATGAAGGAGTTGAGATTATAGGAGAGACTGACTCAGTGTCTATTCCTGAATATCTCGTTATGCTCAGCATTTGTGCTGGAATTATGGCTGTCTCCTTTTTTGGGGGAGCCGTTTATCTACTAGCGCTGAGATTTACATCACTTCCTGTTCGAATGGTCCACATCTTCCGATCCGTCTCGTTTCCAAGATTCCGAGGAAATGAAATCCTGGGATCATGGGGCAATGATGAGAACATGGACACTCTAGATGATAAGTTCAAGGACATCCGAAATGGTGTGTATAGAATTATCAACAATGGCCTGCTCACCACACAGCAACGTGGAGCTGGAGTGGTCAAAGAAAAAGTTTTTCACACTCTGATGCACATCACCAACAATGAACCAGTCAAGTGGCGTGGACAGTGTGTCATTCCACATTCAGGCAATGCTCTGAGAGATGTTGTGACCTATGGTGGACCTTGGAACCTGAAAAAAGCGGAGATCACGAAAGAGATAGACATAATGATTTGTAACCCGGACCAGACTGTCAATTACGGCACTTTTAAACCGAGTGTCATCGACATAGATGGAGAAGAGCAGATGTTCATTTCAGTTGATTTTGGTTATGGATCCTCAGGCTCACCGTTCTTTTATGATGGAACATTCAACATTCGAAATAAGTTTAGGTCCCTAGTGGTAGCATACGTGCCAGTTCCCAGCCAACTCCAGGAAAGCCCAATGGAACAAATGAGTGATAGTTCATCTAGAAGGTTTGTTGATTGGCACCCTGGAAAGGGAAAGACTAGAAAGGTAATCATTGAGCAGACCCTTCAAAATGTGTCAAAGAAGCTGAGAACCCTAATTCTCAGTCCCACCCGAGTTGTTTCAAGAGAGGTATTAAAAGCCTTTGGAGAACAGCCGGACTTCAAAATTGGAAGTAGTGTGGGATATTGCAGGAATAATCTGGTCACCGTAGCTTGTCACGCTACCTTCACCCAATATGTGTTGACTCATGGAGTTGCTCAAATCAAGGTTCACATGATCATTATGGATGAGTGTCATTTTTTTGACCCCTTCTCAATAGCGGCCCGTGGAATCATGGAGTTTCTAAACCAGAAAGGAGTTAACATCGTTTACTTGAGTGCCACTCCTCCTAGCCATCCTCCATCTGAGGGATCAAATTTTGAAATCCAGACCCATTCAATCAAGTTTCCCCAAAGACTATCAGCTGATTGGATTTCGGGGATCTGTCGTGACCTGTCTAAGACAAAAACAATTGTTTTTGTTCCATCACATGCCATGGCTTCAAGTCTGGAGTCCAGTACGAAAAACGCCGTGTCCACAGAAAGCCAAGTCATCAGATTGGCAGACACCCGGCAACCGACCCTTCAATTTACAACGTGGTACATCAGCAACCGGACGGCGATATCAGATTACAGCTTAGCTAGGGAACATTCCTCTTCCAAGCAAGGCCTTTGTAGCTTTCCGAAATAAATCAAAAATCATATTTAGTTAGATTTGCAACCAGTGAAGTTCTTTTTTAAAAACGTATCCAGTCCATTCCATCTCGTAATTGGCGCAGTCTTAAAGGTGGAGGGAGTGTTCTTTTAAAACAGTCCGCGAGTGAGTAAGAAAATCGTAGTGAAGTGTTGTTTGCAGTACCAACATTGTGTTGTTCGGGACGACAAAGGACACCAGCGATCAGGACCACCAGCTCAGAGGATTGAGAAGGAATACTAACAAACCCTGCGAACCGGTTCCACCCGCTTAAGCGTCACTGGCGGCACACCAGTTGATTTGTGGTGAGTACCTTTAAAGCTTGTGACATGTGCGTACCACATGTCATTGCTATTTTTCTGTCATGCACTTTTAGCAGACCACACTTGTGGGAATATTGTTCAAACCTACTCAGCATTTATGACGACAAATAAAGGTGTCGTATGACAAACTCTTGATACATGCTGTTACCATGTGTACAGTCATGGATTTCGGATACTATTCCTTTCCGTTTTTAGCATGGACACTGATCACCATCAGTGTCCGAGTAAATAGCATTTTATATACTCGGTGCATCAAGTGTCTCCAACTTAAACTCTGTATGAAAAATATGAAACAGAATGAATTTATTACATTTCAACCTTCAAACGTGACGTGTCGTGGTTAGTAAAAGATATCACGGTCATGAGTCCAGGGACCAGGACCCAACAAGAGAGAAACATTAAATTAACGACGGAACAAAAACCACAATACAAATCCAACCATCAAAGTGATTCGTATAACAACTATAAACCGCAATGGCAAGGACCTTCCGCGCCAAAAAACTTTAGGCCACAATTTCAGAATCCGGCTCCACAGTCCAATTTTAGAACGATGTCAAATCAAAATAACCCAACACGATTTCCAACACTAATGGCAATCAAACCTGACCCCTCTGGACAAATAAGACAAAACTTCTCCAATCAAATTACACCACACAAAAGATCCACACAGATAAACACTCACGAAATCGAGGAATACTCTCATTTCGCAAACCAAAATACGCCATATCAAGAAACCCCACAAAATTCTCAAGAAACCGAAGAATACCCTTATGACACCAATGTTGAAACGGATCCGGAACACTCAGTGGAAAACCTAAATTTTCATTTAATAGAGGGTCTTCCTCAAGACGAATGATAAATTTTTGTCTTCCGTTCATAGAAATGAAAAAAAAAACAAAATTTGGTACGCTCCGATTCCTTGTTGATACAGGAGCAAATAAAAATTATATCTCACCAAAATTAGTTCCCAGTAAAATCGCAAAACCATGTCCAACACAAACGATCAAAAACATAAGCGGGACCCATCAAGTAAATAAATATACGATATTCAACCCTTTTATAAATTTCGATAAGTCTCTTCCATTTCAAAAATTCTACCTCTTTGATTTTCATACGCATTTTCACGGATTAATAGGGTATGAAATCCTACGGTCTTTGAATGCCGTCATAGACACGGCTAATGATACCTTAAAAATCGGCAATACAGCGATACCCTTACACAAAAAATACCCGGACCTAATCCAAATAAATTCTAACGAAACAAAATCTATAGTCATGACTACATCGATAGATAATGGGAATTTCTATCTAGAACAAGAAGTTGAATTATTGCCAAATATTAAATTTATCTCTGGACTGAACAATAGCTCTAACTATGAAACAAAATTATTGATCCACAATTACGATGACACCCCAAGGGAAATAAACATTTGCGACATGTTGAGCACCGAAGTCAATAATTTTGAAGAAATCCTTCCTATCAATAACAATGAAGGCAAAAATAGATTCCTAGATGACCAACTTAGACTTGACCATCTGAATTCAGAAGAAAGATCCAAATTATTGAAAGTAATCATTATAAAAAATATCTTGGTATTTAGAAAGATCTAAATACCAAGATATTTTTTTATAATGATAACGGAAAACTGACCTTCACTAATGCTATCCACCATGGAATTGCAACTAGGGATGAACTTCCCGTTTATTAGCATGCTTCATTATTAGTTTCTGGGTGTGTCCCGTTGTATCGATCGTGGTCTATGATTGTGAAGGTGACCAGGTTAACAAAACAACAATCTCGCTGATAGACTTGCCTAGCTGTAATAGAAATACAACCCCACCTCACACTCAAGATGTCCAAGTAATAATAACCCAGACATCAAGCCAAGATGACCTCATGGTATACCGCTGTTTTGTCCAAGCCTCGCATGTACTTAAAAGATGTGGAAAATGGTTAGGAGATGATAGTGTTGTGGGTTTCTATTCACAGGTTGTGCGGGTTGAAAGTGAAGAATGCGTAAGGTTGGTTAATCAACGGTCCTACAGAGTTCCATTCGCTTCATCTACCATGTTCCAATTCCCTGAGGTTGGATCCTATGAAGAATCATTTGTTAGTTATGGTGGTTACTCATCAGATGGAAGTTGCTATCCGGGCGGTGATCTTAACTATGGTGGTAAAACTTGGGAGAGGGTCGTAAGGTACACTAACCTCAAGATAACATTTTCATCGATCAAGGCTACTGTTGATTTTGAAGAAAACGGTTGTGATTTTCCCAAACGGGATCAGATGTGAACTAAATAAGGAATCATGTGAGCAGGCTGATTATGGGTGGCTTTACTGGAAAGTCCCCACACCTAGTTGCAGTAGTGATGTTGGGAATCAAGCAGTCCTTTACAGAGGGTTAGCCCAATTGGTCAGTGTGTTTTCGGGAGGCTCAAACGATAGCTTTGTACAGTTAAGTCATTCAGGCTATGATTTTCAAATAAAATTGGAAGACAGGAAGAGCAATATATGTGGCTTAAGGTCTTTTTTTACTGAGCACCCTAGACTCTTCGTGACAATGACTACAGAGATGTCGCCCCCATTCCCTGACATCAAGCCTGTTGACCCCAGATCAGTCAGTATGGTCAACTACATAAACTCAAAAATTGTCTATTCCTTTCGCCACACCAAAAATCAGGTAGATCAGTTATTCCAGCTATTCGAAAAAAATAGATGCCTTAGCCAGAACAGGATTACTAGTAACATGATGGCCATCGCAAACCTCTCTCCAATACAGTTTGTGTTTGCATATTTTCACGAACCTGGATACACTGCTGTAGCCAGAGGGGAAGTTGCTTATGTGGCAAAATGCACCCCGGTGCTTGTAGAAATTGAGCAGGGAAGATTGGAGCATTGTTACAATGAGTTAGTAGTCTCACACAATAATGTCACAAAATTCATGTCCCCTCGGAGCAGGATACTTGTTCGGATAGGCTCCATTGTAAGCTGCTCAAACGATTTTGGGTCCATGTACAAATTACATAACCAGTGGGTGATGCAAACGCAGATTGGGGTGGTACCTGCAAGATTACCTGTCACCATAACACCGGAGGAGTTGAGGTATAGTTTCGAGCCTTTGAATTCTATTGCCAATGGTGGCCTTTATCGACCCGAGACTATTATCAAGTATCAAAAAAACTATTGACATCTCCCCTAGAGGAAACTGTTATATCGTCTCGTATCATCAACACGCTTCAAACTGGGTCTGACCTTCCCACTGGGATCAACATCTTGTAACAATTGTAGTTTCAATACTAAAAGTTTTTCAGACTTTAAAAGCAAGATGGATGAGCTTTCTGACAATGCCCGAGGCCTGGGCTCATGGTGGGAAACATTCTTGTTTGGGTCTTTCTGTATCAAGCTCTTTTGTTCTATTGTGAATGCTTTCACTAACTTCTATTTCATGAAGAAGAGCACCCATTGGTTAATCTGCTTGCTATCCTGCCTATTTGATTCAATTTCCCATCTCATTATATCTGGATTTATAACGTACCCACGAAATAGAAGAGGTAATGCCGAGATGCTTAACTTAAAGGTTAAGCGCAGTACCAATGAGGAGGACCCAGAGTAAAGTTATTCCAGGAACAGACCTTTTATATACTCCAAGTTGGACCATGACCATATATGTATACCAAATCTTATCTGCCACAAAGAAGAGGTACGAAAACAAATCATGAAAATGCTTGACCAAGGCATCATTCGTCCTTCGAATAGCCCATGGTCATCCCCTGTATGGGTAGTACCGAAGAAGTTGGACGCTTCCAGCCAAAGAAAATGGAGATTGGTAATCGATTACCGCAAGCTTAATGACAAAACTTTGGATGATCGATACCCAATACACAACATCACTGACATCTTAGACAAATTAGGAAAATGTCAATACTTTACAACCCTAGATCTAGCCTCCGGTTTCCATCAAATCGAGGTTAGAAAAAATGATATTCATAAGACGGCATTCAATGTCGAAGGAGGGCACTATGAATTCGTCAGAATGCCCTTTGTCCTCAGGAAGCATATTGGCGTGATCTCGGACACGTGGTTACTCCCGAAGGAGTTAAACCAAATCCGGAAAAAATTAAGGCGATACAAGAATGGCCTCTGCCAAAGAACGAAAAGGAACTCAAAGGCTTCCTTGGGATTATTGGCTATTACAGAAAATTTGTCAGGGACTTTGCAAAAATAGCAAAGCCTCTTACACAACAACTACGTAAGGGAGAAACGATTAATCATACCCCCGATTTCATTTCTGCCTTTAAGCGATTTATACTTACAACAGACGCTTCAAACTACGCACTGGGTGCAGTCTTGTCACAAGGTCCCATTGGACAGGACAAACCTATAGCCTTCGCTGAGACGGCCCCCGTTTCATGTTTTGCATTTTATCATGGGCCGTCACATTATGTCACAGACAGTGACCTAGAGTTATACAATTAAGAAAGAAGCTAGGGCATACCAATGGTACCCCGAGCGCGGGCCTTTAAATTTGGCTTCTGCCAATGATAGCAGTTTTTTTTTCAAGTTCACACAACAGCGCAACGCGCGCCATAGCAGGTTGTTTTGTTATTTCTCTCACCAGCATGTGGCTCTGAGAGAATAGCGTGTAGAATGAACTTCTTTTTAGTACAAGAGAAGCATGCTAGGGTCTATATAAGTAAAAATGAGTGAATAAAGCTGGGTTGTCTTGTTGTATCTAAACCAGTGTTTACTTGTATAAGTTGTAAAAGAGTAAAAATGGAGATCTTCCCGCTGACAACAGCTCATTTGGGGCTAATTAATGAACATGTCCCAGCTGATGTGGCAAACATGAGGCAAAACGGTTATGTAGGGACTATTTTTATGGCGACAAATGGTGACAAAATCGCAAGGATTTTCGGGTGGATGAAGAGGACTGAAATTGACCCTCAGCCTTCAACATTGGAAGCTTGGAATGCGGATAAAGACATACGACTGGTTAATGAAAATGGTGTTGTAACAGTAAAGTATGAAGTTTCAATACGAATCACAAACGCGACTAACAAGACACTGGATTCTGTCTTCAGACGACGAGAGGAGTCACTTGTTAGGATTGCGAGCATCAGAGCAGCAACAATCTATGTTGTCGGAGGGAATGACCTAGCCTTTCTGGCAAAGAATACAATGCCTTACATAAGAGCTAAGCAGAACCTATACCATGATAACAACAGGTTTGATATACTCGCATACCTTTCAACTCTTGCATTTATTCCAAACTTTGTAGAGGACATGGAACGATATGGAGATGAAACGGACTCCAGTGTATCTGTGAGGACTTACTCTCAGCTTGATCGTTTCCCCAACTTGGATGACCAGACAGAAGAACATAGGGAAAGTTTGCTCCAGAGAAATGTATTGGTACTATCAGTTGGAAATGCCTTTGGTATCCCTGAAGAAGGTGG